AGGATGTTGAACTGTGACATTGCCGCCGACGACGAAAACCGTAGTGATGATGATGATAATGATTATCACGTATTTAGCGTTGACTCTTACGACAGCGCATCTGCGCACCAGAACAAAAGCGAACGATAAAGAGCATTGGAAGAAACAATGTCCGCAGGAGGGCTTCTCTCATCAATAATATGCGAATCGGATTTGATATTATGCCGGAACAATAAAGGAGATGATACTGCGTAGAAATACGACGGTGTTCACCCGGATCGTTTGGCCTTTACCCCCTCTTTCGATCGTTCACCTTAGAATTTTGATAATACTTAGCATTTTAATAGTCGTATATTGCAATATCACAATGGGGTTATCTTCAATTCTTTAATTCCTATATACGATTTTAAAACATGAATGTTTACGGCAGACGTCAAACGTTTTTGTCTGTCTCGGAAACTATTAAAACTGTACCGAGACCGTGACAAGCATTACGCAGTGGGCTTGTCCGATTTCAGGAAGACATTGTCGTGTGTCCTACTTGTAGAAGAAGGACCAATTATAGCATCAGTGTATAAAATGAACGTAACAGAGATATCCTGCGGTCATTCGTATATGTATTTTGTATAAATGACAACAGATATGTTCATCTATGTACTGTATGTAATGGGCCGACCGGGTCTTACTGTTATCAGTGTCAAGTTAAATTACTATCGAGAAGAGCAACATTACTAATCATCACACGGATCGTGATAAACAGTCAATGATAAATACTCGTACGTAATTTCGATGTGTGATGCGTTTTCGTTAGACTAGCAATGACAATGGTTAAGTGACGTTAATGAAATTTACGTGTACTACTATAATAGTCGCAAAAGCGACGACGAAGTGCTAGGCACGAAGGTAATGCGAGAGTATGACGAAAAAGAAAGTCTTTCTATGTCGATTCTGTTTCCCGTTTACCGCTCGCCGCTCATCCTATAAGTTTATACTAATGTGTGGGCTTGTGTTCGAACCCGAAACGACAGTGTGGGCTGACTGATGAAATACTACATGAGTCCAACATCTCCTAAATCTAAGCACATGTCTATAATCAGGTTTTATAATTATTTACGAAGACCATACTTAATAGCATAGAATCATTTCGTCGAGTTCATATAGTTGATAGGCTATTTTCAGTATTAAAGTATGTTGTGTTGATCGTAAAGCTGTTTGAAGAGAAATAACGTAAGCACGTTTGCCAAGCTCACCATTTTCTCGAGGAACCAGAAGGCGAAAGTGGACCTGATCGAGCTTTACACGATCGAACTTACCTATGAATTTCACTTTTCTTAACAAAAACAGCAACGATTTCCATATAGCTTACTAGATAAACGATAGAGTGTTACTAGATGACTAGTGACATTTAGAGTGGCTTTGTCTGGTTTTAATTCCCAACCAGTTGGACGCCTAAAATCGACAGTGTCCTGTCAGGTCCAAAGATACCAGCGCTGATTGATCTATTCATTCCAGTGTTGCCACCTTAGGTGTTACACAGCCTATAGAATGGCTGCGTGCAAAAAAAAGAGACACGATCAAAATCGAACATTGGCAAAAATGCATTGTATCATCAAGTGCCTGCGTTCCCCTATCTGCAGAATCGATCGGGTATCAAAACAACATCAGCCAGCGAGAAAACGAATTGCAAATGGTAGATTGCTTCGCACGCTTTATCGAATTTTCCGTGCGGTTCGATAAATACGCTTGCCTAAACACTTTCATTAGTTATGTATAGGTCACCGTATCAAATAGTTGAGATACTAGGCGTTTCATCGACGCCATACTAACAAACGTTCACATGAAATGTTTTTTCTACAAAATATAAAAAATCCAACCTTTGCAAATGTGCATATATATATAGAGAGAGTTTTTTTTTTTCTATTCCCGCTGAACAAATTGCCAAAACATGAAGGGAACTTCGAGGGTTGAACCTGGCCATCATCCTTGTTATGCGTGCGAAGGTTTGACCCATTTCGCTATGGTCATTGCATGTATGGTCGTATGTATGATCGAATTTATACAATCACGCCATTGAATGTTACAAAATTAACTATGAATTCATATGTAGCTAGCTGGTAATAATAGGGGGGATGATATCGTGCCGCTGTCAAGACGAACTCGACCATACTTGCGATATTAATAATGAGCAAAAGAAACAACTGTATTATGTGAATTATGAAATCAACAAAGCAGATCAATTAAAAACATTCTCGGTTGAATATTTTGTTCAAGTCTAACTGTATCTATATTTGGTATGAAGGTCAATTGCTCATTGGCAGATCTCATGTTCTTGGAGCCATCTCATGCACATTCATTACCGATGAGAAAATGAAGACGGGAAAAATTAGTGAGTAAAAGAAAGAGTGCTAAAGTTAATGTGTAGTCACGCACGCCCCTAGGCGTCAAATAAGAACTTCACGTTTGGTGCTGAATGTACAGTGAGTGGGGCAAAACCGCCCCTGGTGAGAGTATTCGGTGAAAACGGCGAGCTTCGGCGTTCACCCCTCTACACCTGGACACACAACAAACGTTCGTATAATCAATATAGTATTAAGATTACTACTAATAGGAAGTAAGCTCATTTTCCTCTAACAGTATCTGCTACTTCATTTCTGACAATAAACTAATTATAAAATGTTGTTTCGTCTGAACCGAGTCAAGCTCGATCATCTCATTTTACATATATATATATAGTTGCTGGTACAGATACACACATGGAAGGATCTACAAATAGGCTATCTTCATATTTTCATATAATTATGTATTTATATGCTTCTTATTAGGACACACATGTACTGTAGTAATAATATATAGTTATATTACGTAACCAACACGTTCTCCTCTAAAGTGAGACGTTAGCTATATATAACAGCTGCACCCGCAAAAAATGAAGTGAGATAAAAATGAAATAAAGATCAAATACAATATTGGGTTGTGGGCGCAGACAGCCATACGATATGAACAACGTCGTATTTATCGGGCCAATAGATAGTGTGAGTACGATTCTCTATGTCTGTAAATGTATGTCTATGTGTGTTTTGTGTGTCTTTACGTTTTGTAGTCGTAAATGCGCGCCAATTGCTCGTACCAACTCATTTCATCTAATAACAGTCGTGAAACAATGGTTTTCTCGATGGACATAATGTTTGCTTTAGGGCGGTAGGATATGCGACCTTCCGACAATAACAAACGAACAGATGGAACAGCATGTTCCCCTAAAGAAGACACTAGATCGACTAGTATCGATATTTGATTGTAGGCTGTTCAAATGTTTCCCGCTCTGAAAAACCGTAATAGCACCGTGTTATCCTACCGCACGCCTCTGGACTTTTATCTGACGAAACACATACATCTGTATGTTGTTTATATATATAACACACTGTACGCTATGGGCATTGATTTAGCTAATGGCGATGCTAATGACAAACAATGATTAGTTTGTAGTACTACAATGAGACGCTCCCTTGCTTATATGAGGCAAAACGGATATAGAACAACGGAAATTTTTACGGATTCTACACAAGCGTATATATATACACATATAGCTATATACATATATGCATAAATATCTCAATGCTGACCGATAAATAAAATACTTAAATATTTAATTATCAATTCTATTATATATAGGCTGCAAGGATTAATTGTCGAAAGAGAATATCATTATTATTATTGCTACTACAGACACTATCAGTTCGTCGTCGATAATCTGTACTGCAACGTTATGGTCCCTGACGTAAATGCGGCAAAAAAATAAGTTATTTATGGTTATTGGTGATATAAATGGTTAATAAAAAATGATACTGAAGTTGTGGTTCCATTCAAGTGTTTTCAATCGTTAGTACAATTGGTTAATATTACATATAATTATTATTGATATTACATAATATTGAATACCTCTGTACGAGAATCATTATTTAAACAAAGTAGCGGTAAGTTTAGCTTTGTCACCAATTTCGCGGACCAATAATTCTAACAAACTTGTACTTGTTACGAATGAATGCCAATACATACATTTTGCAGTTTGTCCTTGTAGCATGTACCTTACGGTTTGGCCATTAGGCTGAAGTATATTTTTGTTATTACACTGTTAGAAGCCGATTTTCAACCATCATTTTGTAGAAAGCATAAAAGTATCATATGGAGCATCTCTACCCAATGGTCACTCATCATGCTTTATATATACGGACAATATAGCGGTTCCAATGATGCAGATCTTCTAAATGATCCGGTCATTTACTTATACGAAGTGATCAAAGACTCATCGAAAATAATAGATATTATTATTATGTTCTAGAACGATACCTATGCCCACACGAACAAAGGTTTAGTCCACTTTCAGCGTCCTTTCGGCAAAACGAGTCCCGTAATTGTAAACCAATACCTCGTTTAGGATCGGTCCAAGAATTGAAGCCACGGTCTCACTAATTACCTCTACACATTAGGTTGTCTAGTGTGTCTCAATATACGCCATATTTGACCGAACATGTTTATCTTGGCAGCAGTTCTAAAATAGATTATTTCAAGATAAAATTTTATTTAGTTCATCTGATATAGATGCTAGGAAAAGAACTGATCAAACGAGACCCAGTTTGCTGTAGGTACACTCGACGGCCCAGCTTCTTTGAGGACCAATTTAAGCCTAAAACTTGCTTTATCCATAATAGGAAAATCTGTTCTAAGGTAATAGCTTGACTAATTACCTAAACACTGCCTATATGCTTACCATATACAACGGCTCAGTCATGCTTTGGCAATATCGTTAGCTATTAATGGCTGTCCCTACTTAGCCTGAAAAATATACGCTACGAAATTGGTTTCAACTTTAAACTTTCGAGGTGCACAAGCTGATTTGAAAGTTGAACCCTTTACAAATTATAATTTTTTGCTGGCGTTGCTATTAACGAATACGTTTACGTTCCTCACTTAAGCATGTTTATTTACCAAATGTTACAACATTACTTGAAAAAAAGCAAGTAAAGTCTTTATTGAGTATTTGACTTTGGTCTTCATTATGGCTTATTACCTGCAAATATGAAAACTCCCTTCAGATAGCAGCTAGTGGTCCTCGTATGATTTTACCGTATACAACGTGGAAATGAGTGCACGATAGATGTCTTCTTCGTAACTCCCTATGCATTTTATTCTACAGCTGAGATGAATTATTTACAGAATATGATTAATAGCACACCAAGCTCGGTGATTCGTCTAATTATTCATGGGAAGTCCAGGACCTTCGCCTTCTTACATCTTTCCTACCTCTAAAGCATGCGTAACTTGTTCACTGTCTTTGACAGAAATTCCCGCATCGACTACAGGCTTCCATTAGCCATCGACGCTTTGCCTGCTGATATTTTTTTCAGTTGCTTTAAGCTTCAAAAACACATTCCCTTACACCTAATTTAAAAATCTAGGATTTAACTACATTTCACTATCTCTGGCAAGCACCACGCTGAGTGTTCTTTCTCGCTTTTAGGACCATCCAGCATTAAATCAGATAAAATGGAACCGCTTTCGATAAAAAAAGGCAGCTAAGGCCTTTAGCTTTGAGCTTTCCCGTGCGCATGATTGATACGTGCAATTCGAAAATCCTATAATTTCACACAGTTTTGCAATATTCGGCGCTCAAGATTGTTTTTTTGACGTGGCGCTGGAAGCGATTCCAATGTGCAGACGCAACCGAAAGTAAATAACCATGTTGTCGCTGGCATGGTTAGTAACCATACCAGTCCTGCTTTAATACTTCCGATTATCCAAATACAACTTACTGATATCCCTATATATATATATATATATATATATATATATATATATATATATATATAGTTGATGATATTCAAATAACGTCAGAAAAAGTTCAACTGCATTTCGACAACGAGACTTTTACTAGACAATTAGACATTTATAAAATAGAAAAAAAAAAAGCGTTTTTAAAAGCTGTAGAAGAATATGCCAATACTAACAAGCATCGATTTATACAATCTGCTGTAGAAGTGAGCGTGGTATCATTACTTACTGCAGCCGGTAGCTAGTTTCGATAAAATCGTCGTATTACATGATTATATCATATGGATTTTACTGTTTGATTTGACTATTATTAGGTAAAAGATGCTGGACGTTGCGTACGTAAGCGTGAACAAAATCGTAAATTTGTTCCCGTTTCTTGTTTCTTGTTCTCAGTCCTTGGTGAGCCATATCTGCGAATCTAGTCCAGCGCAGCGGTCTGCTACGGCTGACATATTATTATTGGTTAGGCAGAGTTCAGTATAAGCACCATGGCGAATTTTTCCGCCTTCACGCATCCATTTCTGTGACTCGTCCCCTCGACAGGATCGAAGTAACACTAGCTGACCCACCGAAGAATTGTCCACGGATAGGCACCTGCAGCATCAGGCAAGTCGAACATAGCAACACTGCAGGAGAGGCAAACACCTCCTCTATCATTTCATATTATCATCATAAAAAGAACTAAAGGAGTTACACTTAGACTCGAATAGCACTTGAATATTGACTACGCAATAGGTAATATCGCGATGAAAGTAAACACGCAGAAGTAAGCAGTGACGTACCAGTCGTGGACCATAATCTGGTTGTGCTTTGTAATACGGAAGTCCTGGTTTCCGCCTTGATAGTGGCAAGGATATAGATGCACGCTAGCATCGTCGCTGACGCTTCCTAGGGTGTCAAGACAACGATTTCCTTGTTTAATGTAACCGTGCACGTTTTCAGGAAGCTTTAGTTCTGGATAGACATTTTTTAGGTACCTGTAGATTTAAATTCACATACAATAGAGCGTGCCATGAAACGTAAAATAATTTTTTTGAAAATAAAAGAAATTTTAATATTTATAAGTTGCCTAAGTGGAATGAAACGTCTTATAATATATCCGTTCATCTTAAGTTTACATTTAGTATAGTTTTCATTATAGCCTTCTTTCATTTTCCTCCAAGAGCGGAACATTCGTTATTCGTGAGACGCCTTCTTTCAAGTCACTATGGAACGCACTTACCAAGCAAAGTTATTACACCGTAATTGTTCTCTTAACTTTAAACGAGCGGATATATCTCCATATGGGACGCCTTTAGCTGCAGGAACTTGTTCGTAGTAATGCCGCTTATACTCATCCATCCAAACCTCAGCGGCGCGTCTCGTGTTACGGGCAAATACCTGAAATGTGTGCCGACCAAGAATGACTTTGAACTGGAAATCAATCAATTGCGTTTATTGGGAATACACTGCTTCGGAAGCTAGTGTCCTTTGTAGTTACTAATGAAGGTTTACTTGCATTTCATATTACAGACAGCCTCCGTCTGTCACAGTATTATATATAATAATTTTTAGGTGAAAATATCAATCTATGTCCTAATCCAATTACGGCCAGAATAACGTCGGTAATAAAAATAGCTGTAATCACTCCAATGCTCTAATGATATTTATAGCACAATGCGTATCCGACAATTACAGTATACCCTATCGTAAATCTTAAGGGCAACTCAGGGGCAAGACTTAGTAATAAAGCAACACGCTTAATTCAGAGAAACTTGTGGTTTGATGCGCAAGCTAGTTTTATCTCTGCTCTCGCCACTCCTCAACGGCGCAATAGGTCGTAAATTTGTGAATATGTTCTGCCATTTAACCCTAACAGAATCCTAAATCTTCCAAAATTACCTTTCCACTGCCTCCGGGAAACGTATATGGGTGCTGTTTGCGGAACACGTGTCCCACCCGCGAGCAGGGCACAATCTCAATGGTACCTCCACATTGCCACACTCGAAACGACATCTCAAGGTTCTCGGCTCCCCACACGTCCATCTGTGTATCGTACGTACCTAAACGGCGAAATTCGGACCGCGTAATGGCAAACAAGCCCCCTGCCATTGCAGGCGTTAAAATTGAGTCGGTTGGAGAGTCAGGCTTGCGTGTGAGAAATTCCCACTGCAAACAGACAATGAAATTCTCTCGTATCTCAGTTCAGTTAAATCAGCTGCTTATATCTGGCTATCGCTTTTGACGCGCCGGTCCGATTGCGACTAACATATCAAGGTAAGATGAGAGATGCTATAATCTGTATGGAATTGACTGGATTACCTTTTTCGTATATTCTGCTCGCGCACACTTACCATCATAGGAAACAATTCTCTAACCATTACTGTGGACAAAAAAATTATCTTTGTGGCTACACCATCCCTTGCGGTAAACATGAGAGAGTAACTGATTAAAAGATTAATAACACGAACGTCGGAACAGACTCCAATCTAGTTGGGCACGTAACTTATCGCTAACTAGGACTACAGGAAAAAGTACCCGTCGTAGCTTAGTGAATTACGTATTTGCCTGCTAATCTTAGGGACGCATGGTGTTCTAGACTCGAAGTTGCGCATCAGGTAGAGAGCCGGCAATGCTTAACGGCGATAGCGAGCGTAGAACTCGAAACATGGAGAGGCCAGTGAAGTATGATGGTGGATCGGTGACGCGTCTGTTAAGTAAACTAAATGAGAAATCCGAACTATGATGCAATTTAGGATTAAATTCACATATATCTATATATACATATATATTTAGCAGCTTTATCGTGTTCGTTCCTTGAGGCGATGTGTCTGATCCGGAAAGCTTTGCCGCGCAATTCGTCGAACGTTGAAGACTTCCCGGCGAGCATTTACTTGCTATGAGTTCGGTGTTGATTTCGTCGGTTAGAACCAGTTACTCTGCGTGTATAGTTGCAGCATGACATAAGTAATATCACAATAATAGAATTAAACGCGTCGGGCGTTCTGTGCACGGACCAGTATTTTTAACAGGAATGACAACATTTTTCTTAATATCAATTGTTTTATAATTTTATTGTTCTATAAATATACCTCTTACGGTATGTATTTTACCTAATCTTTATCATACTGACTCGTGTTGTTTGTAAATTACATATGTTTAGATGCTATAAGGGCAAGGGGAACCCTGACTCGCTGAGGACAAGACAGAATATATATATGGGGTGTATGAAAAATGTCTATGCACCGACCTTGAACACGAGATTCCAGTCGAAGCCACCGCGAAGATCGGACGAAGCTGGAAAGTAGGCAAATGTCTCCATCGATAAGACATCGATTACGGGACATGCGACACGCGTTGGATCCTCTCGAATTCGAGATAGCAAAGGTTCGAGCCATCCAGAATTGCACTCACAATGGCTATCGAGAAACGTGAGAACGGGAGCACTTGCACGTTCTGCGCCGAGGACTCGGGATCTGAAGGTCAATTCAGTAGAAACGATCAACGAGCACTTCTACTGTGAATGAAAACGAAAATGATGCTAGTCTCTAGGTGCCTGCCCGTTTACTACCAGGTTAGTGAATAGTAGCACTACAGCGAAAGTAAGCCTAACACTACGCGCGATTGAAATTGATTTTTCTAACTCTTATGAAAACATTATTCAAAACAGCAAACAATAGATATGATCCTTGCCTAGAAGAAAAGCGATATCGAGTCTTCGATCGAGACGTTACATGACATATCTTCAAGAAAGCACATCTTTGGATTATTAACGCAAATCTATCCATAGTAAAATTTACTACGTTAGAACTAACTCAATGTTGAAGCCCTTCCGCAGCAGAAAATAACTGATACAAGTTACTTATGTCCTATTTGATAGTGAGTAACGTCGTTAAAAGCGTGATTCCAACCTTTTAGTATAGGTTACAGGTGGTAAATGACGACTAATAATTTCCATTGGACTGTGGCTCCCTTCAATCTCCATAAATAGATATTGATCTTTGTGAAAATTCAAAGGATAGGATCATTACGTCAACTGATTCACGTATCGTAGTGAACCCTTAACGAAACGAATCTGGTGCTAACAATACAACACGTGCAAAAAAATTGAATTCGTAGCATTTTATACTAGCCTATGTTGAAAGTGATTTGTAGAATATTAATAATTTTGTTAATTAAAATAATTAATTCTGTAATAAGTCAGTAGAATTTTTCGGTTTGCCGGTTTAAGCTCTTCTATACAACGGGTTGTTTTTTTTTTAACTTAATAAGCCTAGGGTCTGGCGAAAATTTTGTAATTGGTAGTCGATAGAGTACACTCACCTGACGAGTCCTTCTCTTTGGTGATTCCGAATGACGCTGACTTTATCAAACCTTTGCTGAATCTCCAACCCGTCCTCCGGGTCATCGCTAGCATCGTCAACAAGAATAATCTCCTTAAGTAAATGTGCCGGGGACCGTCGTAGGACACTTACCACCTATATGAAACAGATATCCACAAGTAGTATGTTGGTTTAAAGTTTCGAGACACAGATTAACTACCATATCATGTAAGAAATGTTAGGAAGCTCAAAAAAGTCGAAGAGCGTTATTAGAATTTTCGTGATGGTCTATGAGTGTAAATGCGTAGAAACTCTCTGGGCTTTTAGAGATTTTGGAGGTGCCCTTTATCGCTGCTCTGATATATCAATTTCGCTAGTATGAAAGAATATGCGGCCAGATCTTACCGTTCGCAGCAGTGCTGATCGCGCTTCATTATGAAACGCGATGATAACAGAGGTTTGCGGTAGATGAGCTGTGTCGTAACTGTTGTGCAGTGCAAGGCAGTGCGGGTGGCGTGTATCTGGAATTGGGCGCCCGATCGCCGCCTCGTCCGATGCCGCCTGATTGAATTTATGTGCTGCATATGGATCGGGGCCCGGAGGGCGTTTGCCGATATATCTGAATCGCAGTAACAGGGAGGGAAATACGGCGAAAAATTAGAACAAGATACCTATTTTGAAGATTGAGGTCGCTCAGAAAAATGTAACCTGCCATTCGAGGAAAAATTACTGCTATTCATTCATAGATTATTATGTTTATGGTTCTTATAGCAGTAGTGTGAAAGTATTACGCTGTGCTATTATATTGCCTTTTAGTAAACGCACACTATTATCCGCAAATAATTCAACATCGTCGTTATGCCACATATCGTTTAGTCAACCGTCATGCCAGATGGAGCACTGAAAAACTTTTCAAGGTGTCAGTGCCTCTAAATGTATGTTTCTTTTCCCATATTCCGGCTCTGATAATCACGTAACCCCACAGGACTTTTCGTGTCATAGGACGGCAAACTATTTAGAAGCATTTTTGGGTAGGCAGCGAACCCAATTGTCTTTTTTCTGCTGCAGAGTTTCTGTTGCCTGCAGAAAAATAGCACTTTGGAACGGGTTTCTCATACAGACTGAACTAGCGTTTGACTACATCGTACTGGAACAAAATCCAAAAAACTGGTAATCAAATTGCGTCTTCGCAGCAAAGTAAATGAATCGTTTATCCTTAATTGGCAGGTACAAAATTCAAATTCACAAATCTGCAGATATATCTAAGGTGAATAGATCTATAAAGGGATAGATAAAGACCTGCTAGTCCACTCATCGTGAACAACTGATCCTGTGGCGTCGCGATGAAGAGACGCGACGAGATAGATCGATAAGGTGGCGGCCGTCCAGAGAACGCCCACGGCCAAAAGGCGGCCCCGCGGTCGACGCAGTTTGCCGCCAGAAGAACGCGCTCGACTCCACCGACGCAGGCAGCCAATCGGGCAATTGCAGCCACCTAGGACCACTCCAAAGCAAACTGACTCACGACACACGGTGGATTTCGGCCAGCGTCATCTAGGTACGCGCCTCCGCGTCTCACTTAAAATAAAACACTTGAGTACAGCGAGCGCGTAGCGCTGAACATTGCGAATATGACGTTCCCGTTTGTGTATTTCAGGGTCGTTCGTAAGCTTCCTTAAAGATTCGCTGAGTAGAAGTTAGCGATCAGTGTAGAAAATAGCCCGATTTTAACTGAAAGGTAACGGTGAAGCTGGTCAATCGCGACTGAAATCGCGGACGGATAGTGGATATGTGTAAAGCACCAAGATCAACCTTACATTTTTATATTACACATCAATATTTTATGACGTTCCGTGCTTAGTGAGTCGACCATGTTACATTTAACAATCGCCTAGTTACTTTGACTTCGTTAGGAGCATCAGGTTTATATTGGCTTACCAATAATCCTTGTATATCCACTTGATCAGAATTACTATATAATATATAAATAAATAGAGTCTGTAAACAATTGAGTATTGGCCAACACGTAATCCATGTAAAGAAACGCTCCGAATAATTGATGTCTACAACGTCAAACATTTCACCTCGATGCAATTCTCCTTGCACATTTTGTGAAGTTTACTAGATTTTTACCAGGTATTGGCTCACGTTTTTCTACGTAATCCATAAGTTACCGCAATATTCTCATTATCTTCAAGGCTAGCTCAAACTACATTATGGTTCAGACTTAATGCTATATCTGCAGTACCCATAATTCTCGTACCTTTAGTCAGCTACCTTTTGACGCGGCATAAATGTCAGGAGCCCGTACTATGGTTTAAGACAGTCATAAGATATAGAACTGGGCCGAGGGAAATCGCTTTCAATTTACTGCCGCTACGATGCTGCGTCACAATGAGGTGGCAGCATGGTTTTGCGTCGTCCGAACGGAACGTTTCCCGAAGATCGTACGTCTAAACAATGCTACTGGCTCACCTCGTTTAGGGTCTTTTATTAGCTGATACAATGCTCATACAGAAAAGCAAGTAGTTATCACATTATTCAAAGATACACAACACCTAACTACCCCAATCTCACGGAGAAAACAAGCTTGTCATATGTGGTAGCACAGATTTTTTTGCCGCAACTTGTACAGTCGGACCACGTAACACAATGCACAGTACGTAACGTAGCTGAATTAGTGTCAAACAACACAAAAATTAAGATAGATACCCACCCTGGAGACGTGCCGAATTGGCATGCAAACAACTCTGTGCTGGAATAGAACGATATGATGCTATGCTTATGGTGGGGGGTGGCCTGCAGTTCGAAACCACCCAGACGAGCTAAAGGTTGAGAGGCCCCAGGCCCTCATTCATCCATCCAAGGCTAAAGTCTCAGCCACCAGAGTGGTGGGAGCTTTTTTCTCCTTTGGATGTTAATCGTACAATTATCCACTAGGTGGCGCCACGAGTGCTAAAAGCTTATATTAGTTAGTCAAAAAGCAACATTCTCTTCATGCTCACAGACAGTGGCTTCTGGCCTTTGGAAAAGTTGATATACAAAAAGTTTCTTGTTTTGCATCCTGCCGGATCTGAGACGAAAACCAAAACATATTAAGTGCTATATTGGAAGAAACACCAGGTCTAACTAGAATATTTCGTATCCTCTATACGCATAAATAGTTATGTCGGACTAGCAACTATGTGATGTTTCACAACACTATTGATTTCTATAATTAGGCCTACCTTGAATGGTGTGAATGTCCTTCCAAAAAGCTTAACCCCCTATCAAAGCTCAAGGCTGTCCCAGCGGAGCTGGACTCTGCACAATATTTAGTGAACCGTGCCTTTCAACTGAATAGCTCAGTTAATGAATAAGAGTACAATATGTGGTTGTAGACACAATGTCTTGTGCCCTGAGTGAACTAACAAAGATCGTCTTATTCCGTAAGCACAAAAATAACAGAATCCCAGTTACATATTGCGCGGGGATTTAATCTATGTACATACGGTCCAGAATTAATGCAGCTCCGCCAAATTATAGCTACGTCTGGCGATAAACGATAGATCCCCGTCAATGAGCATATATTGAAAAGGTATCGAACTCAACTTTCGTAAAGTCAAACCTTTACTTATACTTCATCACACATATAATTTCATCATATATTGTAATTTACACCAGTTTGTTTGTTTGTTATAACCTTAGGCTTACTCTGCCCTCTTCCTAAAAGAGCACCACATTTGCACTGTGATTTGTAGAGATGTGTTTCATCAAGGCGGTTGGCCTAGTGGATGGTGAATCAGTGTCTACAGCCTGTCAGCTAAAATAATTATTAAGTAAGCCAACAGCAAGTCGTTTTAATGCATAATATAACTTGATTGCATAATATATATGGATACTAGTACCTGATTTTGAAAATAATCCTGATCGAATTGGCCTGTAAGGCAATACTAGGCACACATTGGCAGTGCACTGCGTGTAAACTATTGTCGGATAGATGTCTCGTATTGTCAGAGCCGTACATTCTAATTAGTAGTTTAAACCATAGTTCAAATGCAGTCGACAATACAGCCTGAAAGCTCTTTTTGTTTATATTTCAGGACGAGTATCTTCAGCCGAGCCACGGTAACTTACTACTACATAAAGCCTTGTGAAGTAGTCCTCTCCTGATATAGTGAAATGCGTACGTCACCTCGTTGCGAGCGAGCAAGCCGTTCCGGTTATTTGCCCACTGATGAACGGAAGAGTCGGCCGAACGATGTAACATTTAATATGGGTATCGTAGTAGCAGTTACTACTATTATTATATACTAATGTTCGCATCTCAACTTCACTGTAAATATTTGTTAATATACAGTTAATAGGCAATGGTGTTTTGTTATGCGGACAACTGTAAAAGAAGTGTTTAAATTAAGCGAAAAAAAAAAAAGTTTGGTAGGTTAACAGGTCGCAGCAATAGCATTACGATACATACACTCGGTCCTATAGCTTTTGTGAGAAATCATTTCTGCTTCCTAAACGCTTAATCCGATACAGCGCTTTTTCGTGCTCCCTAACGCCTTGTCATTAACGCTCGTCATTAAAGCGAGCTTTAGTAATCGTCGCATCTGATATTTAAATGCAAAATCAATAATTTCAGCTACACGTTTACCTATTACACTCTTCTAAGAATAGAGCGAACATGTAGGTAGAGCTGTTTTTTGTAGCTTGCTTTAACCCGTTCTCAAACCACTTTCCAAGTATACCCAACCCGTTGTAACAGACAATTTTAACAAAAATGTTGATGAGCCGCCTTACCGTGAACTAGAAAGAAGAGAACAAGAACATTTACGCTCTGTAATATGGAAGATCGTCTTGACATTTTTTTTTTTTATTAAAGCCCAAATGTAATCTTCTGTATGCTTTTAAATCATCTTAACTTTGAGAACTTTCATCGAATATTAGACTACCTACTTTTCCGCCGTTTTACTATCCGTCGATCAATTTTGTTGCTGGAAGGGGCTTTCTTGTAAGAGCATGATTCTAATAGTTCATAGTAATTGAGAGGTTCCGAGAGTGTGGGCAAACAATATTGTGATGAAGACCAGACAGATGCTACAACAGAAGGCTGAGATCACTAGTTGCCGTTCGACTATAGAATAGGTAAAAGTCACATATCTATTTAAGACCTGAAACAGGAGTGCCTCGCTTGAGCAAGAGGCCACTGCATTATGCATTGAATCATATTTAGAGTTATGTACGCAATTAGCAAGTGTGGCATCGAACGCGTATATTCACTGTTCTTGTTATTCCTACTCACCGTTGCCCCGATCAATGTCAGAACCGTTGTTGCCACAATGGGCTCGTAATGAATGGCAAACATAGCGACACCATGTTAGAAGAAGATATGCAAATTGATACACTTACTATGTGTAGGCGTATCGTAATTTCTATGATGTAAATTTTCAGTTCCTCTTAGTACCGGTCCATCAAGTTTCACCAGCTTCTCTTGCTTATATTTATACGATTATTACTATTTTGTCGTTGTTCAGTGTGTATTATTTACATATGCCTATTGTACAACCGTTTAGCAGGGGGCTATCGCATTCTATTTGCGTGCAAATTCCTCTCGAGGTAGATCGCCTTTTGCCCTTTCTCATACCTTACCACTTAAGCTCACTACCATCATTCATTACTGGGACTCTTGCATCAGCAAATTCTCTTTCATCTCCTTAATTTTTGAAGTCAGAATATTGAGTTAGTTATCTACAATCTACGGCCGCTGTTCTTCACCACGTAGCGTTGGCAATTGGTCACCATTACTATTACGATCTCTATTCAATTGATGTTACTACTTTAAATATGCGTATGCTTGTTTCTGTTGCTTTCGTCGTTGTCAGTATATCACTATTATACATCGATAGTATGCTGTGCTCATAAGTGATACACAGTTCTTCTATAATGCTTAGTAGATGAGTTCTAAGTCCTTAAAACTTACACCTATCTGATCGTTGTGACAGTCCAGATTTCACCTAGTAGGTCAATATCTATTCAGGCGAAGTACTACCTCAAATTATAGCCTGATTCTCACAGTGAACGCAACCGTTTCAAGTACAAATTCCGTCAAGTACTATCGATGTACGATCGGTATAGGGACGGTGAGATACGTACCAGACGTAACGAACGGTGATCTTGAAATTCCTAGAAAATCGTCTACCGGAGGGCTATGCTAGATAATAGTTGTTATCCGTCGACGTACGTATATGTACTACTACAATATATGCTAACATTTACACGTTGACCTTGACGTTGGGAACTGGATTAGGTGCCTTGTTCCGTTGCCGTAGAAAATCTCTTGCCCAATCTAACTAGCGGCTCGTTTATCGGAAGAGTCATTCTAGCGCAAGATTTCTGCCATTGTTACGAAGATATTCCTACGCTGTATGGCTAAACATATGTATGCGCTTGAAAATTCGATGGTGCAACACGACGGAAGTTCATTAGCGGGTCGCATTAGACGGACAACGTTTATCTCATTAATTCTTCAACTCAACAATATGTTTGTCGCATCGAAATGATAAACGCATAGAGTAAGAAAGAAACTTCCTGTTGTAAGTTCTATAGGAGAAAAACTCCGTTCCATTGATCCACGTTAAAGGACAATTCATATCGTATAAGCTCGAAGAAAACGATGTAGCTTAGTGATTTCGTTATTTGCTAAATTGTCACGTTTACTTGACTTTTTTTCCCATCCTCAAACAGCTTTTCAGGTTATAGCGTTCACTATGGAAGCTAACTAGGAGTACAATCGTGCCATGTTTCGTGATACGCTGATAATAAGAATTATAGACAACAATCGTCCGTAATAACGGTGGTGAACTTTATAACAATGGTCACGTATTATATCACAATACACCTATTGTGGCTGTTAATAGTAGCAGTACACATTGAGGAAATGTTATCCGCGTTATATAATACATCCTTTGTCTATAAACAAGCGCTCCCCGTTTTCTCTAATGATAGAGCGAACCAAAAAAGGATATACTAGTGTTATCGTGCCGTACTATAGTTTCGGTTAGTTGAATGTTATCTTCCTCTAGCATGATTCTGTAATTGTTAATGACTCCCCGTAACCTTCGTACACTATAACGATCACAGCGCAAATCTCTTCACGCGCAAAAAAAAACATCAATACAATGATGCGGACACGTGAAATCAACTTAGGTAAATATTTAAAGCTCGTGGTCACTGCCACATTCAGACTTTTATCTCAATTCATACTGGGGTCAAGGTTCTGGGGTCAAGTCCATAAAAAATTGTGTCTCAGAGCTACCCAATCAAAGATTGACTAAACTCTGTCCTCCGCCAAAATTAATCAATCAGACAATGTTAGCTGCGTTAATGCGAATTTAAAATTTAAAAACATTTTTTATAATATTTAGAAAAACACTGCTGGCATAGAGTACGAATCCGTAGGTATCCAAGGGGACTCGCATCTACATATATAGATTTGACTGAGATTACATATATATA